TCCTAAAACAAAGATTAAATTAAACTCTAGTAGCCAACAGTGCATAATTTATAATGTTGGACATCCAGTCCCAGATTGTCAGGCATACAGAATACAGTTCATATTGAGGAATAAAAACAGTCAATAGAAATAGACCTAGAAATGACACAGATGATAGACTTCGTAGACAGGACATTGTAACAGAATTATTTCATATGTTCAAAGAACTAGAGGAAAGATGGAATATGTTAAATGGAGCTAAAGAATCTATAAAAATGACCCAAAACAAATTTCTGAAGGGGAAAAATGACAGTGTCTGAAGTCAGAAATGTAGTTGACAGAGTTAATAGCAGATAGACATGACAGATAAAGAGAATAGTGAATGTGAAGGCATGAAATAGAAGCAGCCAAAAGGAAACATTAAAAAAATTGAAAATATACAGTGATCTGTGAATAATGAATAAGTAAATGATTAGTGGGATAACAAGAAGCTGTCTAAGAAAACATGTAATTGAAGTCCAGGAATGTAGTGGTAGGAACAGAAAAATTACTTGAATAAAATGAATATTTTCTACATTTAATGAAAACTATAGTCATAAATTCAAAAAGTTCATTAAAGATTTTCTCTTTACCTCTGATTTTAAGTGCTTTAATTATATGTTCTGGTGTAGCTTTCTTTATGATTTCTTGGTTTTGGGTTCTTGGAGCTACTAGAACCCTTGGCAACCCAAAGCAGAAGAATCAAAAAGAGAGCTATAGCAAGGCACATCTTAATTAAATTGTGTAAAAGTAGTGAAGAGATAGTCTTTAGTGCACACAGAAAAAAAATGCACATTATATACAAAGGTATTATGGGCTGAATTTTGCCCCCCCCCCCACAAATGATTATATCGGACCTCTAAGCTACTGTGTCTCAGAATGTGAGTATATTTGGAGAAAGGGCCTTTAAAGAGGCACTTAAAATAAGGCTCTTACTGTGGACCTTACTCTGATATGACTGAAGAGGAAATCTGGACAAAGAAACTCCAAGGGGGCAGAAAGAACCATCTGGGTATAACAAGAAGGTGGCCACTAGCAAGCCAAGGAGAATGACCTTAGGAAAAAATGAAACCTTTTGATTCCTTGATCTTGGACTTTGAGTCTCCAGAACTATGAGAAAATACATTTCTATCGTTTAAAGTCATCTGGTCTGTGATTTTTGTTATAGCAGCCCTAGCAGACTAATGTATAAAGTAAGAATTAAGGCAAACCTTTCATCAGAACCACTGTAAGGCAGAAGATGCTGGAATGATAACTTTAAAGTTCTAAGTAAAAAAACAATAACTGTAACCCCCAAATTGTATACTCAGTGAAAATACCATTCAGAATTGAAGAGGAAAACGTGCAGATGGGGAGCTCTCCAGAGTCAGAAAGTGCATTCATGGTCACTTAAAACTGACAATTAGGAGAAAATTGAGTTATTGCTAAAGGGTAGAGGATTTCTTTTTGTGGTAATCAAATTTTCCAAAACTGATTTTGATGATGGAAGCACAACTCTGAGTATTCTAAGTCATTGAATTGTGCACTTTAAATGGGTGAATTGTATGGTATATGAATTATGTAAGTAAAAATAATGAAGAGAATCAGAAAATAATTAATTTAAAAATAAAACATGCAAGAGCACATAGAATTAATCATCATCAAATACCACTACAAGAAATGTTAAAGGCAGGAGAAAACCATACCAGATGGAAATTTAGATCTACAAAAAATAATGAAGAGAATCAGAAATCAATGTAGAGGGGCCTCCCCGGTGGCGCAGTGGTTGAGCGCTGGGTTGCGAAGCTGCCCGCGGCCTCTGCGGCGCCGGTTCAATCCCTGGCTGCTCCCCGGCCTCCGGGGGAGGGTCCCACATGGCGTGCAGACCTCTCCTGCCGCCCGCTGCTCCCCTTAGCAGTGTATTTCGGTCCTTCTGCCTGCTCTGCTCCCCGCTCTGGCTCTGGTGAATTCTCTCACCCTCCCGCGCTTCTGACTGTACCCAGTGCATGTATAAACAAAACAAACAAACAAATAAATAAATAAAAAACATGCCTCTATAAAAAAAAAAAAAAAAAAAAAAAAAGAAATCAATGTAGAAAATATTAGAAAGTTCTTTTAGTGGAAAAAGAAAAGTCACCAAAGAGACAACTTTTAAAAACAGAAATTATGAAACTTTATTGTGGGATTTATGACATATATAGGAATAAAATGTCTGATTGTGATCGTCCAAAAGGTTGGGGGAGTTGAGATTGAAGTAACTGTTTTCAGATCACAGCATAAGGATTATACTGTTCACATATTTTTATAACATATGTGAAGATATATATTTCTTTTTTTAATTTTTTAAAATATTTATTTATTTATGCATACAAGAATTGGGGTACAGGGCCTCCCCAGTGGCACAGCGGTTGAGCGCTGGGCTGCGAAGCTGCCCGCAGTCTCTGCAGCACCGGTTTGATCCCCAGCCACCAGGTGAGGGTCCCACATGGCGCATAGACCTCTCCTGCCGCCCGCTGCTCTCCTCAGCAGTGTATTTTGTCGGTCTGCCTGTTCTGTACCCCGCTCTGGCTCTGGTGAATTCTCTCACCCTCCCGCGCTTTTGACTGTACCCAGTGCTTGTATAAATTAATAAATAAATCTTTAAAAAAAAGAAAAGAATTGGGGCACAGGCCAGAGGTGTGGGGGGGATGAGAGGATTCACCAGAGACAGAGTAGGAAGCAGAACAGGCAGATTGACTCAAACACGCTGTTGAGGGGAGCAGCAGGCGAGTCAGGAGAGGTCTGCTGCGCCATGTGGGTAGCTCCATGGCCGGGGATCGAACTTGTGCTGCAGTGGCTGCAGACAGCTTCATAGGTTGCGGCTTAATCTCTTGCGCCACCAGGGAGGCCCAGAAGATATATATTTCTTTGAGCTAGACTGATAAAGATGCCTTCCCTGAATCCAAAAGAAATTTTTTAAAAAGGGGGAGGTTATTAATAAGTCAAAATTGAAATATAAAAATACTTAATCTAAAAGACATCTGAAAAAGGGAAGATGAACAGATTTGACAAATAGAAAACAAATAGCAATATGGTTGGCTTAAATGCAGCCTTGTCAATAAATGACATTAAATACAAATGATGTCCACTCTATAATTAATAAGATTATTACTATGAGTGCCTTTAAAGGCAAGCCCAGAGAAATGCTATCTACAAGAAATATACATTAAATTTATATGAAGATACAGATAGGCTAACAGTCAAGGGATGAAGAAGATATGGAAACAATAACTAGAATAAGTAGGAGTTGCTGTATTTCTATTAGATAAGATAGATTTCAGAGCAAGAAATATTACCATGGCTATAAAGGGTTAGTTCATAATAAGGAGAGGATTAACAAAAACTGCTTCTTTAAAATGATTATCAAAATTGATAAAGTTTTAGTCAGACTTACAAAAAAGAGAGTGAACATGTTACCAATATCAGGAATGAGAGATTGAACATTCACTGACAACTCTGTAGCCATTATGAAGATAATGAACACTGCAAACTATTATATTCCAGTAAATTTGATAATTTACATGACATGGACAGGTCCTATAAAATGCATACACTGCTAAAGCATAATAAAAAAGAAACTGAGAACCTGAATAGACCTGTAAGAGCTGTTGAATTTATTTTATATTTTTATATATATTAAAAGAAAAGTTTTTACTGGGAAATATCTCACAGTTTGGTTTGTTTCTTGGTAATGGCATCATTGTGGGGAAGAGTCAGAGGGGGCTGCTAGTCCTTTTCCTTCCCTTTCTTGGCTTTGGCCTTAGCTTGAATTTTTTTATTTTTAAATGAGATGCCATTGTCTTATACCCTTGTTAATGTTTTGACATTATAGGATTTCTCCCCATAACTCTTCTACCACCAAAGCACCCATAGCTCTCAACCGTAGTCCATTGTGCTCACCCCAGCCCTATACCCTTCTTCCCCCATCCCCGCCACTCCCTTGCCATCCCCCTTCCCTCCTGGGTGCCTCAGACCTCAGATCTATGGTCAGCTTTCAAGGGTTGGTTTTAAAGTTTGTCTTTGGCTTTGTTTGGTTTCTTTATTTTCTGCATATTAAGTAAAACCATCCAGTATCTATCTTTCTCCTGACTTACTTCAGAGTATAATTCCTTCTAGCTCCATTCAGCTTGCCTCAAATGGCACGAGTTCATCTACTATAGTATTCCGTTGTGTGTGCAGATGACATCTTGATGCACTCATCTGTTGGGATTTAGGTTATTGCTATATACTGACTAATGCCAGTAGTACTGCAATGAACAGAGGTGTGTGGGTTTCCTTCTGGGTTAGTGTTTTTGTGTTCTTGGAGTAAATGCCTAGTAATGGAATTGCTCTGTCCTATGGCAGATCCGTTTTCAGTTTTTTGAGGACCCTCCACACTCCTTTTTCTAGGGGCTGGACCAGTCTGCGTTCCCACTATCAGTGGAAGAGGGTTCCTTTTTCTCCACACCCTTGCCAGTTCTTGTTTCTGATTTTTCTAACATACACCATTTTTGCTGGTGTGAGGTGGTGTCTCACTGTGGTTTTTATTTGCATTTCCCTGATGATAAGTGGTCATGACCATTTTCTCATGTGCCTGTTGGCCATCTGCATGTCTAAAGATACTGAATTTTAGTTTAAGACTTTCCTACAAAAGAAGTTCCAGGCTGAGATGTCTTCATTGCTAAGGTCTACCAACAATTTCTGGAAGAATTATGTACTATTTCTATATAAATGTTTGAAGAATTTAGAGGAGGGAGCACTTCACAACTCAATTTATGAACCCAGCCTGACAGCAAAACCCAACAAAAATATAAGAAAACTACTGCCCAGTATCCATTATAAACATAGAGCAACAAGGTTTTAGTAAATTGAAGCCAACAATATATGAAAAGAATAATACATTATGACCAAGTAGATTTTATCCTAGTGATTTAAGATTGGTTTAACATTCAAAGCTCAAATAATGTAATTCACTCTATTAACAGACTAAAAAAGAAAATAATGTATGGTGATCTTAAAAGAAGCAGAAAAAGCATTTGAGAAAATTCAACTTTCAACAAATTGGAAAGGTACCTTGTCAATCTGATAGAGGGCGTCTCTGGAGAACCTACAGATAGTGGCATAATTAATGATGAAACAATGAATGCTTTGCCCTTAAGAGCAAGAACAAGGTATGGATGTTTGCTCTCACCACTTCTTTTCAACATAGTAATGACGGTTCTTGTCAGTGCGAAGTACTGACGCACAGACACAGGGAGGGGTGGGGGAATGGGAGGGAGCAACAAAGGAAAAAAGAAAACTTCCTGTTGCACTGGGCAACATCATAGGAAATCACAAGGAGTGCACAAAACTAGGATAATTAAGAAGGTTGCAGGATACAAAGTATATAAAAATAGTGTGTGTGTAGACTAGGAAGAGCAATATAAAATGGAAATTGATGAAACTTTACTTACAAATAGCATAAAAATGTGGAATTCTTAGATCTAAATTTGACAGGACATACAGTTGATATATATATAGAAAACTAGAAGACACTGCTTATTAGAAGATTCAATATTGTTAAGATTTCAGTTCTTCCCAAATGATCTATAAATTCACCACAGTTCCAGTCAGTTGATACACTGACTCTTAAAATTTATCTGGAAACACAGTGTCTGAAATAGACAAAATGAATTTGAAAACAAAGTTCAAAGTTGGAGGATTCAAAATACCTGATTTTAAAACTTATTATAAAGGTTGGGTAATTAAGATAGTGGTATTGGTGTGAAAATACACAAATCAGTAGAAGAGAATAGAAAACTAGAAATAGATCATTGTGTGTATGGTCAATTGATTTTTAGGAGTTGCCAAGGTATTTCATTGGGAGAAAGGGTAGCAGTTGGTTAACCATTGCAAGGGAGGAAAAAATTTTTCCTTCTGCTCTTGTAAGTTTTCAGCTGAGTCTCTAACCAGAGACAGTTTATATCTTATATATATATGGGAGAAACTCATAGATGAGTGATTAAAAGGTTCGGTTAGAACTTGGGTTTATATAGCTAGCATGTTAACAAGGGAACACAAAATTTTTAGAGAAGTGACAAGAATGAAGGAAAACGACCTTGAATCTCCAGGGGTGGCAAATTGTAGGAAGGCAAATACATTGTGAAACTAATGGTAGATAAAAGTTTGTAAAGTTTGTTATATAAACCCCTTTGGTGTCATCTCCAGGCTGATAAGGGTTGTCTCAGGTGGTTAATTTTTATCCTCCTAGTAGAGAAGGGAGGATGACACCTTTGTTAATTTGTTGCCTATTTTTTGGCAGAGAGCTTTTCTTGAACCTGCTTCTCAATTGCTTCTCTCAAAATAATCCTTATGCCAAAGTGGCATAAGGTGTCAAATTCAGCTACCATTCACCACATTAAAAAAAAAAGGGGGGGCCTCCCTGGTGGCGCAAGGGGTTAAGCACCGCACTATGAACCTATCCGCAGCCTCTGCAGCACGAGTTTGATCCCCGGCTGGCCAGGGATCAACCAAATGGTGCAGCAGACCTCTCCTGTCTCGCCCGCTGCTCCCCTCAGCAGTGTATTTTAGTCAGTCTGCCTGTTCTGTTCCCCATTCTGTCTCTGATGAATCCTCTCACCCCCACATCTCCAGCCTGTACCCCAGCTCTTGTATGCATAAATAAATAAATCTTTAAAAAAAATAAAAAACAAAAAGCAAAATAGCTCCAACTTTACTCGACATGGTCAAAAAATAACTCAAAATGGATCATGTATGTAAGGACTAAAATGATTTAATTCTAGAAGAAAACATCTAAGAAAACATTGTGATCACAGAGTAAGCAAAAGATTTCATAAGATGAACACAGAAAGCACAAAGTATAATAGAAGAAAATAGATGAATTTGATTTTATCAAAATAAGCTTTCTCTTTTAAAGACACAGTAGCAAATGAAAATATTAGATTGGCAGAAAATAAAAAATTTAAGAAAATACTTTTATGTGGATTTTATGAAGACCTCACATACTTCAACAATAAGATTTTTACTGATGTTTAAATTTAATTAAAATACAGTCAAGGAGTGTGGACACTGCCAAAGAAGATATGGGCTTGGGAAGTAAGCACATGAAAAAATGCTCAACATAAGTCATAAGGGAAATGCAAATTAAAATCATCAGATTCTATATTGATGAAATTCATATGGAATCACAAAAAACCCCGAATTGCCAAAGCTCTCCTGAAAAAGAAAGAAGGGAATGGAGGCATCACACTCCCAGACTTCAAACTATACTACAAAGCCATAATCATCAAAACTGCATGGTATTGGAACAAGAACAGACATACAGACCAATGGAATCGAATAGAAAATCCAGAAATAAACCCACAGATTTATGGTCAACTAATCTTTGACAAAGGAGCAAAGACTATGCATTGGAGCAAAGAAAGTTTGTTCAATAAATGGTGCTGGGAAAACTGGGTCGCTACATGCAAAAGAATGAAGCTTGACCACTACCTCACACCATACACAAAAATCAACTCAAAATGGATTAAAGAACTAGACATAAGACCTGAAACCATAAAATATATAGAAGGAAATATAGGCAAAACACTACGTGATTTGCACATCAAAGACATCTTTACAGATACATCACCCAAAGCAGTGATAGTGAAGGCAAAGATAAACAGCTGGGACTACATCAAATTAAAGAGCTTCTGCACAGCAAAAGAGACAATAACAAAAACAAAGAGAAACCCCACTGACTGGGAGAACAATTTTGCACCCAACACTAATGATAAAGGACTGATCACAAAAATCTGCAAAGAGCTGATGAGACTCAACAACAACAAAGAAAATAACCCAGTCAAAAAATGGGCAGAAGAGCTAAAAAGAAACTTCTCTGAAGAGGAAATGCAAATGGCCAATAGGCATATGAAAAAATGTTCAACATCACTTGTCATCATGAGATACCATGAGATACCATCTTACACCAGTGAGAATGGCACATATTAAAAAAACTGGCAACAACAAATGTTGGCGAGGTTGTGGAGAAAAAGGAACTCTCCTGCACTGTTGGTGGGAGTACAAACTGGTCCAACCACTATGGAGAGCTGTGTGGAGATTTCTTGACCTACTAAACATAGAGCTTCCATAGGATCCAGCAATTCCACTCCTAGGTATTTACCCAAAGGACACAGAAACATCCATTCCAAAGAGCACCTGCACCCCTATGTTTATAGCAGCACTGTTTACAATAGCTAAACCTTGGAAACAGCCCAAATGCCCAAAAATAGATGACTGGATCAAGAAGATGTGGTACATATATACCATGGAATATTACTCAGCATTCAAAAAAGATAAACACATGCAATTTGCAGCAACATGGATGGCGCTGGAAGGGATCATGCTCAGTGAAATAAGCCAAAAAGAAAAAGAAAAATACCGGATGGTCTCACTCATAGCAGGAATCTAGAAAACTTAAATAAGGGACCAGGAAAATGAATAACTATAAGAAAGTGAAAATCAAAATCAACAAAAAACTATGAACCAGAGATACTTTTTGGGGGGTGGGGGGCGGGAGGGGAGGTATTGGGGTCAGAATGGGGGGGTTGCAATTGTATGGGGAATATAAAAATAAAATTTATTATAAAAAAAAATCATCAGATTCTACTACACAACTATTAGAAGACTAACTTTAAAAAAGTATAACCATATCAAATGTTGGTGAGGATGTGGAGCAACTGGAACTCATATGTTACTAATGGCCATGTGAGGTGGTATAGCCACTTTGAAACGTGTTAACTTTTTAAAATTAACAATTCATTTATCATAAAGATACAGCCACTCCACCTCTGAAATGAATCCATATGTTCACATCAAGAGTTGTACTGAATTTTTATATGAACCTGTTTGTAATCATTAAAAATTGCTAATGACCTAGCTATTACTCATCAGGTAAGGAGATAAATTGTGATTTAGCTGTAGAATGGGGTACTGCTCCATTACCAAAAAAAAAAAAAAAAAAGAACAATCTGTTTACACACTAGTACATTGCATTATAAAACTTGACAGTTTAAAAAAATTATTTGACAATCTGTTGAGAGTGACAATAGTATTTCTTTGTCTTTGTTTGCATTTTCCTGATTACTAATAGAAAATGTGTTTCTTCTATTATTTGCCTTTGCATTTCTACTTTTGAGTCTTTGCCAACTTTGCTTTTGTCTTTTTGGTTTATAATTATTTGAATATACTGAGTAAGACCATTTATTTGTCATACATGTAATAACATTTTTTCGATCTATAATTTATCTTTTAACTGTTTATGATTTTAAATTGTATAGCAGTTTTAAATTTTAAAATAATCAAACATAACTTTTTTTTCTGCTTTGTACTTCTAGTTCTTACTTGAGAAATCCTTCCTTATGAAAATCATGTGTTTGCATCTAAAAATTTTAAGGATTTGCTTTTCATGTGTAGGCTTTTAATCCACCTGGAATTTATGTTTGTGTATGGTATAAATACGGCTCTTGTTTTTCTCTGTGTGAATAATGAGTTGCCCCAGATAATTTACTATTGAATATTAATTATGCCTCCTCTAATATGATCAGATTTGGGGATATGTTTGAGTCTGTTGTCTTCCATTGGTCTGCTCAATTTCCATGATTAATATATAGAAAGCCTGCAACTAGTAGAGCAGATGTCTCTGCTTTGTTGATTTTATTCAAACTCCACTGACACTTTTTTGTTGAAATTACATTGAATTTATAGATTAACATGGAGAGAACTGGTTTCTTTGCAATATTGAGTCTTCCCAGCCAGAGGTATGATATATAAACTCCATTATAAAAACTCCATTTGTTTGGGTATTTAATATCTTTCATTAACATTTTATAATTTTGAAAGATTTTTTTTCTATTATTAGATTTATTCCTAGATAGTATTGGTTGTTATTCCTAGGTAGTATTGGAACTCTTTTTCTATGAGAGTTCTAGCTGTTAGTGTTATGGTTGATGAACCAGTGTTGATACATTATTATTAACTAAAGTTTATGCTTTATGTTGGGTTTCATGCCTTGTGATACATAGTTACAGGTGGTATATCCACTATTAAAGTGTAATGTTACGTGTCGACTGTTAAACTGCCATGCAAAATAGTTTATTCCATTAGAAAACCAGTAGTTTGCTTTTAACCTTAT